GGCACCAGCAAATCAAAAGAGAATGAAGACAATGGGGAGAGTAGTATTGAACCAAAAAAGTCTAGAAAGCATGCTAAGCATAAAGCCGACTCTGAATTTGGAGTGGTGCGGGGAATTGACTTCAAAAATGTGCACACGGTATGTCATTACTATACTCGTTGGTATATCATTCTTTGCATTCAATTTTGACTGGGTAGTTCTTGGATATCATGTATGTATCCGAGATGATTTGTTTGAACTCAATGCATTTAAACGACGCTTTGAGTAGGTAGAACTAAATTCACTTATTGTAATTTCTCTGTTTCCTGATATTACTTTGTGAGATACCATGTTCAGCTAGCATACCATTTAACCATGTCTGCTTTTTATTATTTTTTGCAGGTTGTAAATTTGGATATGCCTCAAAGTGCTGAAGGATATGTTCATCGAATTGGACGTACTGGAAGAGCATATAGTACTGGTGCTTCTATCTCCCTTGTGAGTTTGTTAATCAATGATCATTACAGCATTAACACGCCCATGGCCAGGCCCACGATCTCCCTTTTCAGCATAATTTCATATAGAAGACCAATAATCTGAATTTAATAACTACCCTGTTATAACTTATAACCCTATGCATCCCCTCTGAAGTATTCAAGCTCTTTGGGATGCCATAACATATAACCACAACCAGGCTGTTCCAGTGAACCCAAAATGCTTTTGCTGTTACTTTATTGGTAGTGCATTTGTGATGCAATAATATATGAACTGCAAATGTTCGTTTGTAGATTTTCTAAATTTGATTCTTTGCTTTTAAGTTTGTGTTCATCCCTGAATGTTTTGTCTTGCTGAAGACCTCTGTATGTTTATGATGATGATCTTGTCTTGTGAAACATTTTAACGTTCTAATATATTTTTTTCTTCTAACAGGTTTCTCCAGATGAGATGGCAATTTTTGAAGAAATAAAATCCTTTTTGGGGGACGATGAAAAAGACAACTCAATCTTAATTCCTCCATTTCCTTTGCTGACCAAGAATGCAGTGGAGTCTTTAAGATATAGAGCTGAGGTGATTCTTCTGACTCTTTTATCTTTCATGATTTGGTTCCCTTTGTCTTTTCATTTCAAAGGCTTCATGGATCACTTCCCTATTTTTCGCCTGAGTGGACCCATTATGGTCAAGCTAACCATGAATTTGGGTCTCCTGTTTGGTGATTTGTTTTGCTTTTTTTGATCACCTTGTTTAATTGCATCATTCTGATTCCTGATCTGCCATTGGGTGGAAGTTTATTGTACGGTTAAAGGCCCCCAAGATCACCTGATCATAAGCACTGACTTCTACAGGATGTTGCAAAGAGTGTGACAAAAATTGCTGTCAGAGAATCGCGAGCTCAAGATTTGAGAAATGAAATTCTCAATTCTGAAAAGTGAGTACATACTATTGCCGCTTTCTTTATCTGCATGAGGTCCTTTGCACCAACACTCGTGCAAAATTAGGTACATGGCTTGTAGAATATAATCAATATCGCTAAATCTTTTTTAGCACCTACTACGCTAATTGGATCACAGATACACAATAGTCAAAGTTACTTTGATTGAGCGCAGCTACTTGTGTTCTTTTAGGTTTTTTGCTTCTCAACCTATGTCTTCGCTGCACTGACCTCTCCTACAACTTGCAGCTTTTGGTTTCTAATAACAATCTGTTTTTATCCGTTTAGGTTGAAGGCTCATTTTGAAGTTAATCCAAGAGACCTGGGTATTGTTTAGTTGAATGTACTGGGTCTCCTATTATACTTGCTCACTGTACCTTTGAAGTTACAAGATTTAGACATTGCTAATTTATAATTTTGAGCAGATCTGTTGAAACATGACAAGGCTCTAAGCAAGAAGCCTCCTGCTCCTCACCTACGCGATGTGCCTGATTATCTATTGGACGCAACAACTAAAGAAGCCAGCAAGACTGTTAAGCTTGCTAGAGCTGCAATGGGAAACACCAACCCTGCTCGCCGCCATGGATTTAAGAGAAAATCCAAAAAGAATAAGGACCCCCTCAAGACTTTCACTGCTGAGGTACTTTGCATTTTTCTTGTACCTAACCTCTTCATTATTTCAAGTTATGTCAATTTCACTTAATACACATGCAACGAAGCGTTGTCCCAACCTCTTGTTGTTCCGAGTGCCAACGCGTAGAGAGACTGGAATTAGTTGCTGATGAATCTTGTAATAATCTGATAACAGGGGCATAAGAGAGCTCGTAGAGGCGGGATGAAGCAAGAAGGAAAAGATGGCAATGGCAACCATAGACAAAAAAAGAGAAAGACCTGATATACCATTTAATTTAATTACTGTATACGCATAAACAGCGGCTAGCAAGCAACTCTCACAATTTTGTATCAAGTTATAGTGATAATACCTCTTTCTTTCATACATCTATCCATCAATTTGACATGCGGTTCAACTTTCTACTCTTGGGAGAACATGTGGTTCAACTTTTGTTGTGTAAATGTAATTTTGATATTTAAGGCAAAATTGTTTGGTACAAAGACGAGAGACACAGAAATGTTCATATCAGGCTGAGCTCTGTGTGGACAAGACTCTAGTCAAATTTGGAAGTTGTACGATACTTATTTTCAGCTTTTTTAAGTTTTCTATATTTCATGCATGTAATGGCGTGTTAGCTAGCTGTTACATCCACACTTGAATGATGGGCCACTTAACTGTCATAATATGTTTTGAAGTTTGATTTTATTGTCGTCAACTAGCTGGTGATCTAATAGTATTAGTAGTATTTAGGAATATTCTCTTCAGTTTGAATCTCCTTTCAATGATGAAAAAAAGAAAAAGAAAAAATATTTTTTTTTGGTGAAGCTCATCATTGTCATAATGTTTGGTTTGAAATTTGGTGACTTTCTTTATGAACTTTTTAATGAATTTAATCACTTAGGTTAAACCCTAACAAAGAAATACCAAACTCGTTCATGAAGTGATGTGTTAGTACTTGCGTAAATGAAAAATTCTACCATACATTGTATTGCATGCAACCGATCTTTTAACTGTTGGATGTGACTGGTACACCCTTCCTATAAAATAGTAACCACTGTTGGATATGTGATGTATCTCATACAACAATATATGGTAGAAAAACTCTTATATCAATAAGTTACTAGTGATTTAGTCACCTCATTTAGGTTGGAGTCTAGTTGGATTAGATTATCATCTTCATACTAAATCACATTGTCAGTTCATTATGATCGATATTCAATTTTGTTGATGCAAATGCGCACTCTTAGAAATTTTGAGTGCGCTAAAGAGTACGAGAAGCTATCATATATAATTAAAACTAGTCCCTTCACACGTTTGCTAATTGATTTTTAATTTTTTTAACCCCGTTTTTTAAATTTTACCAACCTCACTTCTAATAAAAGGTTTATCAAACGCTAAACTGCTTTATTTCACAACTGATTTCTCTCACATCAAATCTGACTGTGATTATTTTTACAGCACATCAATGTCAAACTAGCATGAAGTTGAAGATGCTGATAAATGCTTGTGATTATTTTTGTACTTGGGGTGTCTCTTACCGGGGCCATTTGATGGCTTGGGGTGTCTCTTACCGGGGCCATTTGATGGCAAACTTAGCTTTCTAGATTTATGGATAGATGGCAATTTCGTGTCTTGTAATATTGTCGACGCAATGTCATTTCACATGCATACTCAATAATTGAATATAGTTATCTTTTATTTTTCATTTTATTTCAATTGAATAGACAAATTAGAAATGAATAAGACATCCATCGTGATGAAAAACACATTAAAACAACTACCATTTGATTATGTTACATTTTTATCAATTTGAGTTTGAATCATTGGACTACAAATACGTACAATGCAATCTAGAAGTGTCCTAAAAATAAAATTGGGATAAATTTCTCAATCTAAAAATCTAAAGAGATATTATAGAAAGAATTCATCAATGATCTAAAAATCTGTTTTATTACTTATCGACTTTGAGTTGCATTCGAATCGAATCGTGTACCCTTATTGTAATTGTTGAAATTGTCATCCCACTTTGTGTGGGATGTAAATTACTGAAATCCCTAATTTGTTTACCACCTGTCCTGATGGGAACAATTTGATAATAAAAGCGACCTGCTTTCTTGGTTTGAGTCTGAATGAATTGTAATCCTTTCCCTTGGGATTGCCTAACTAACTTTGGTGCATGCTTTCAATGCTACTATGTGGTCCGTTCTTAATCAAGTGGGGCATTTTCTTTTACCCCACTTTAAAGGAGCAATTGTTTTTCCCGTTGAGGAAATTTCTGGACTCTTCTATTAACTTTAGCCTTTGTTCTTTTTCTTTAAAAATAAAAAAACCAATTAAACAAGTCTTCCTTTTTAATCTTTTTGGATATTAGCGATGTCGGGAGAAGAGAGAATTGAACTTAGATCTCGAGTGCATAAATAAATACTCTAATTAACATCTTGAACTACAAGTCCCACCCAAAACAAAGGAAAAAACTACTAGTCCCTCACAAATTTTTTATTTTTTAGCCAGAAGGTAAAGAGAGAAGTCTAGGTTGCACCCCTATTTACTCTCGTGAAGGTACATGCCTATTTGGACAGTAACTATGACAATTAAGCCAAAAGGGTTCACCGCCCCCACAGCCCCAGGCCACTGGCCCACCATCCCCAGTCCTCCCTCGTGTCAAACACTTATTAATTTTCACCAATTGCCATCAGTCCAACTTAGTGCCTCCCACTCTCACTCTCTCTCCCCCCTCCCTTTCTCTCTCCTCCAACACAAACACAGAATTGAAAAAACAGTTCCTCAGCTCTCTCTCTCTATTTTTTATATCATTTTTTTGTATACATTTCTAATCTGCGCTTCCATAACAGAATATAACAGGATTCAATAACACCAACATCTCCCTCTTTTTCTTTCTTATATTTTGTTCCTAAACCGTACCCTTTATAACATAAGAAAATAAAACCCAAAAATAATCACACCCACAAGGTACCATTTGGTACCAATCTCTCTCCCCCTCTCTCTGTCTCTCTTTCCTCTCCATAGTCTCCAAAACCCAAAATCCCAAACCTTCTTCATCCAAAATCAATCAAAGGGCAAACAAAGTTTCTATTTTTTCCACAACCCAAAATCCCAAACTTCAAAATTAACGAAAGGGTACAAACTATTCTTGTAATTTTTGCTAATTTTCCACTCTAGATGGGTGCTGCTGCTAAGACTGCTTGTGCTCTGATATTCATAACCGTTCTAAACGGCGCCGTTTTCCGGCCCACCTCATCAGATCCAAGCGACGAGGCTTGCCTGACCCACCTAAGCCAATCCATACAAGACGCAACAAAGTCCCTCCAGAACTGGACCAAATCCACCTTCGCAAACCCATGTAGCGGCTTCACCTCCTACCTCCAAGGCGCCACCTGTAACAATGGTAGAATCTACAAGCTCTCCCTCACGAACCTCGCTCTGCGGGGCTCAATCTCGCCGTTTTTGGCCAACTGCACCAACCTCCAAGCACTCGACCTCTCCTCCAACTTCCTCACCGGCCCAATCCCATCGGACCTCCAGTACTTGGTCAACCTCGCCGTCCTGAACCTCTCCTCCAATCGGTTGCAGGGCCCAATCCCGCCGCAGCTCACATTGTGCGCCTACCTCAACGTCATCGATCTCCACGACAACTTACTCACCGGAACGATCCCTCAGCAATTGGGCCTTCTTGTCCGGCTTTCGGCTTTCGACGTCTCAAACAACAAGCTTTCGGGGCCGATACCGGTTTCTTTGGGAAATCGGAGTGGGAATTTGCCGAGGTTTAATGCGACGTCGTTCGATGGCAACAAGGAGCTTTATGGTTACCCTTTGGCCCCTCTGAAAAGCAAAGGGCTTTCGGTTTTGGCCATTGTTGGGATCGGATTGGGAAGTGGGTTTGCGAGTTTGGTGCTTAGTTTCACTGGTGTGTGCATATGGTTGAAAATTACAGAGCGCAAGATGGCTCTTGAAGAAGGCAAGATCAGCCACCTCATGCCTGATTATTGAGAGACAAGAGCATAATCTAATCCCCCAATTAGCTTGAGCTAAAATTTCAGGTATTGTTGGAATTATTAATGAGAGCTCGAGATTTCAGTCCAAGGCGGGCAGTATTGTGCTTTTGGAATTTTTGGCTGTCTTTTACTGATGAGGGAATTTTTGTTTCTTATTTTCTTTCTTGGGTTTAGTTTGGTTTTTCTCTTAACCATTTTGGGGTCTTTTCTTTCTTTTTAATGCTTTTGATTCTCTCTATAACTTTCTCATCAATCCAACAATGTATAAAAACCCAATTCAACAAAAACACCATGTTTCAGTTTCAGTCAATCAAATAGTGCAGCAGCAGCCTCTATTATTTTTCTTCCCTTTCAAGTCTCAATGGTGTATAATTGTAACCGATATATAATGCATTTTTCTTTTATCTGTGTTGTTTGCAACCCTCTCTCTCTCTCTCTCTCTCTCTTCCTCTGGGTCTGTGGGGCAGTAAGTAGGGCAGGTTGAGAAATTGGAATTGTGTCTTGGTCAAGAGCTGCACCGTGCAATTTTGTCTGGCAGTGAGCTAAAATATACTAAATCATCATCTGGTGAGAGAGCTTTTGTAAATAAATATAATGGATTTTCACTTGCTCTTGGAGCTTCTTGTGCTTGGCTATTGTGAGCTGGTAGGAGACCAACAGAACCGCATGGTATGGAAATTGTCGACCTCTGAGCCTCTCAAGGCTTTAAATATGGTGAGGATTTGCTCTGCCTAGCCCAACATTCTGTGCAACTCTTGCTCCTTATTCTACTTGGGGTTTGAGTTTTATGTTTGCTTTCTCTGCTACTCTGCCATTACTGTACAAGTTTACAAAAGCATAAAAAAAATTTGGAAGTTTAATTAAGGATCAAACAAATAAAAGACTGGCCATGCATTGAGCTTGTAACTTAAGTAGTTAAGAGTATTTAGTCAAGCATTCGAAGGTTTCAACTCGATTCTCTCCTCTTCCCATATCGCTTGTATAAAATAATAATAATAATAATAATAAAAGACTTGGGCACGCCGAAATTTTAACAATAATTCACTGTGCCATGCCAAGCTTTTAGCAGTATTTTTCCCACCTTGTATTGTATTGATGATTAGATAACATGTAATATGTGTGGTTCCCATTATTGTGGTTTGTGGGTTGTATGATGTAGGCTGCAGCCCTGTTCGTCCCTACCCTGTCAATTTTTTTTTTTTTAAAAAATCTTTGTGTGGATATTTTCGTCCCTACCCTGTCAATTTTATTTTTTTTTAAATCTTTGTGTGGATATTTTTATTTGTTTAAAACGTGGGTCAAGGCTCCTAGCTTGGGTTTTTAAAACTCTCTAGGATTTAACTTTGCTTTCCTTGGTTTAAACTTCTAATTAGTGACATTAAGATACTCTTAGATTTGTTTTTTATCGATGCTTTGCATGTGTCTGTGTGCAAAGCCCCTAGATTCTTTACAAACCATGATTTTTTTTTTTGGGTGGGTTAGTGGTAACGTGAACCTAATCTTTAGCAATAAATATGATACAATTTGAGAGGAAAAAAACAAGAACAAAAAAAGAAGATGAGCGAAACAAACTCCACGTCCAATTGTACCCTGCATTGTGCATAAGTTATCACTTATCAAAATTCCTACAAGAGGGTTAACAGGAAAATGGTCTTTACTTGCAGACTCATAACACTTTGATAGTGTATGTGAGAAAACCTTTTTTTTTTTCCAACTTTGGCAAAAAACAAAAAAACCGAAACCTTCAAGAAGACTATGTTTTTGGTCAAATTAATGTTATTGAAAAAGCTGTTTCTTTTCGCAAATCATAATTCGACAAAAAGAGAAAAAAATTCATACACATATCAAATTGTGAATGACAGAAAATGCGAAATGTTTTTCCAAATAAAAAACCCTGTTCCAATAACACGGGAAATAGAAAAAAACAACATATAAAACTTGATTAGCTCAACCGAATTAGACAAAGATCCGAGACACAAATGATGGAATTTTGTCACCAAGGATCATCAAATATGTATGTCATATTCATCAACACTAGGCCCTAGACTTGTCTGTGTCTAATCAACACTATACCTGATCCAACGGCTGTGATATCAAATTTCAATTTTCCCTTTTATTTTCAACTCACACCGAAAGCAAAGATGGTCAAATGAGCTTTCATTCCTCTCTTTAATGGGGTCCCTCCGAGAATGGCATGCATTTCATCATGGGATTGGGGTCCATGCCCCCACTCCCCTTCATCTCCCTCCCAATTCATGCTGTGTCATTGAGTAATTTTCTGAACCCAACTTGATAAATTGTCCTTACTTATGAAACTGCTGAGTGGCTCAGTCCTCCGCAGTTGGTCCAGGGAGTCACAAGGGCTGTGTTTTTTCCCTTCAATAATCAATCTTATTGCTGCAACTCTGAACTTCAAGCTCCGTGCTTTGGTAACTGGTGGCTTGCCTTGGACCACAATTTATATGAATTAACCGAAAAGGGATGTTAATTATGTATAGTATATGTAGATAGATACAAATTATACAAATTATGATTTGGCAGTGTAACTTCAATACTTCGATGCACCAGTGTACTTGGCATTTATTGTTTGTACGGATTTTAAGGGTGAACAATGGATTTTATAGTTTAGGGTATATATAGTATTGATAAATAAAACATGATTTGAATGTTATAGTACGTGGTGGTCGTGTTTCAGTATAACACAATAATTTTACCAATTTAATGTAACATTTAAGTAATATGTGGAGCTGTCGACGCATTTTGTAGTTAGAAATTATTGTATGATACTGTAATACGATTATGTGATATAACCCATTAATTTGTTATAATATGAATGAATAACATAGTTAAATTTCCTGCTTTTATGGTGGTAGTTATCTCCATACTCCACTAAAGCAAATTTAGTGAGCAAATCGTATGGTATGAATAGATTTTCCTTGTAGAAACATGCTTTGACGGGTTAGTTTAATCTTTAAAATGCGGCCCTGGGTGTGAAGAGCAATTCGTTGTGGTGATATAAAAGTTAAAACCCTAATCATAAAATGGGCCAAAAACAATAGCACTTCAAAGTTTTGAATGTTCAATTTTGGTCCACAGAAATTGGTCCAGTCGATCTATTCTCCCAAGCCCAACTCTCAATTTCTACTCAACTTTAAAAGCAGAAAACAAAATCGTTTCGGTTTTTTTGTTCGCACCAAAAATCAAAACCCTAAACCCTTTGTAGCTTTGAGCTCCAAGTTCGGAAGCTACAGACTCTCCCATGGCTGAAACTACGGAGAAGCCACCCCCATTAATATGTTATAATATGAATGAATAACATAATTAAATTTCCTGCTTTTATGGTGGTAGTTATCTCCATACTCCACTAACATTATTATAGTGAGCAAATCGTATGGTATGAATAGATTTTCCTTGTAGAAACATGCTTTGACGGGTTAGTTTAATCTTTAAAATGCGGCCCTGGGTGTGAAGAGCAATTCGTTGTGGTGATATAAAAGTTAAAACCCTAATCATAAAATGGGCCAAAAACAATAGCACTTCAAAGTTTTGAAAGTTCAATTTTGGTCCACAGAAATTGGTCCAGTCGATCTATTCTCCCAAGCCCAACTCTCAATTTCTACTCAACTTTAAAAGCAGAAAACAAAACCGTTTCGGTTTTTTTGTTCGCACCAAAAATCAAAACCCTAAACCCTTTGTAGCTTTGAGCACCAAGTTCGGAAGCTACAGACTCTCCCATGGCTGAAACTACGGAGAAGCCACCCAAGGAGATTGAAAGCGAAGACGAAGAGGAGCAGACGTTCGAAAGCCTCGGATTGGACGGTCGTCTTATTCGTGCCCTAAACAAGAAGAAAATTGACAAGCCCACCCCCATTCAGCAAGTCGCCATACCTCTCATCCTTGTTAGTTTTCTTTTCCCAAATTAATCTACTTTTATCACCTGTTTGGCTTCCCAGAAAATGCAGGAAATGAAAAGAAAATTTAATGTTGAAAACTGTGTTCATTGATTGTTTTCTTGCATTTTGGAATGCGTTTCAGCAAGGTAAGGATGTGGTGGCCAGGGCAAAGACTGGGTCTGGAAAGACCTTTGCTTATCTCCTGCCGTTGCTTCAGAAGCTGTTTACTTTAGAACCAAAGAAGAAACTTGCTCCGAGTGCGATTGTTCTCGTCCCTACTCGAGAACTTTCTCAGCAGGTTTGTACATTTTGTAACTGTTCCCGGTTCGAATTCTCTATGCCGTTTTAGATTTCTTGCTAAGTTTGGTTATTGAATGTGAATGGTTGTGGCACATATGCAGGTTTATACAGAGATCTCTTCATTGATTGAATTGTGTAGAGTTCCATTGAAAGTTGTACAGTTGACAAGCAGCATGCCTGCACCTGATTGGGTTTGTTCAACTCCCTTTTCCAATTATATGAAATGTAAATGTGCACAAGCACCCACATGCAAGTGGAGATTTTATATTTTTGCTGACTCTTTCTTATCCACAATATTGCTTGCAGCGCACAGCTTTGGCGGCTCTACCTGAGGTTCTGGTTACCACTCCAGCTTGCGTAAAGAAATGTTTGTCAGATGGTGTTCTTCAGCCAACATCCATTGATGAGTCACTAGAAATTCTTGTTCTTGATGAGGTGAGAGAACATTTAGTTACAAACAGACGCACAAACATATTTGTCAGTTTTGGTCGAGTCTGATGGAATGTGAATTCATCGCCTGCATTCCTATTAATTTTGTTCACCTTAAAAGACTATTTGCTCCTCAACTAATTTTGTTATTCATACATTACATTGTTCGCGTGGTTTTTGAAATCATAGATGCTTTGAATTTAACACTAATATATGGTTGTTAGCCCTTATTACGAAACTAAAATAGATGTTAGGGAATGTACTCTTTTAGGATTTTCTCTTTTTTCCCATTGTCAAAATTTGAAGAATAATTATTGGAATTATCCCATTGACAGATCATTGAACTATATTTTCTTTCAGGCAGATCTTCTGTTGTCATATGGATATGAGGGAGATATAAAAGCATTAACACCTCACATCCCTAAACGTTGTCAATGTCTTCTTATGTCTGCCACCTCAAGGTTTGTTATTTACATAATATATGCACCATTTTTACTTTCTGCAGATTAGGAGTAATGATGTTAATGATTGATGTGTTTTGTGGAATTGTGT